TCGGAAATGGCTGATTTGCTGTCGGAATTGGTAACAGAGGTCTGATGTTCTTTCACTCGGGTGAAGTGTACAGTTGAGTGTATAGTGCGATAATTGCTCGCGGATGACATGCATCGCTTGCTGTGGATGCGCCCGGTGGCGACCTCCCAAAGGTTAGACGTCAAAACGTTAGACGCGCTAAAACAACAAAGGTTATGGTTTGATTGATACATATTTTATTCAGTTAAGAAACGGATTGGGCACAAGTTATCCAACTTAAATAATCCCTCTCCACATAGTTACAAGTGTATATTACAAAAAGTTCAACAAGAGGAGGCAGACAAAGGGAATAGATATTTACAGAAAGAGTTATTTAAATCGTTTAGTGTTATGGATGTAGATATGTACAGATTTACAAACATTTATGGTTGGTTGCACTGAGGCTCACTACACTGTTACCTTCGTTAATTAATGGACTACTCCAAACATACTAATCCAAACACAAAGAGAAGAGATTATGGATAATGACAATGACTTTATTTGCGTGAAACAAAGCAATTTGATTGTATTTTGTTAATATGTTGCTTTACAATCAACCTTTGTTTAAAAACATAATTATGGAGTGAATAATGATTAACATAATGATAGGATAAAAATGAGCAAAAGTTAAAAGAAAAATATATATAAATATTTATAACAACTTTTAAAATGTTAAAAAGTGGAAATCTTATATTATTGTTTTTGTTTCTAGATATGTTTGACATATTGTGAACATTGCGAAAACATATTTCGAGAACCCAGTAAATGAGTAAGTCAGTCAACATTACTATTCTGATCAAAAGTATTTCTGTGCAAATGTGAAAAGCATCTCGTTAGTGTATGGGACAGGCTCATTATATGAGTGAGTAAGACAAAGGTTGTAATCACAGTCACGCCTGATTGATTTGTCTGTGTTTTGGGACGTTTGACTTTTGGGACGTTTGACTTTTTGGGACGTCTAATTTTTGGGAGTAAACCCGCCTGGTAAACTGCTAGTCTATATGTATAGCACACCAAACGAGTTTCCACTTTCATATCAAGGTTATGTCCAGAGGGAAATAGCTTTGATTTATCACGCGCAAAGCAAATGTACAAATTATGTTCACACAACAGCAGGAGCCGAACAGGGGAACTGTGTGTCTCAAATAGTAGTGGTTATGGGTATATGCACAGTCAGCCATGCGGACCCCGTTGATATAAAGAAGCCTTTGTCATCTGCGCTCAGGATGAAGCTATGTAGTGCGATGTCCCATTCACCGTGGACCAGCTATACGTAGGAGTTCATCGCCGCAGTTCATCGTGGACGTCGGTCAAGTGATCACAGTACTGGAGAATATGGGTAAGAATACCTTTGAAAAACAGACCACAGCTATGCCTGAGTCCCGGCTTCTAGGTATAATTAAGCCTATTTACACAAAAACAAAGGGGTATTGGGACCCGGATAATTATCGGGGGTGTCACTTTTAAGCTGCTTGGGTAAACTATTCACATCCATATTAAGTAAACGGCTCCAAGCCTACTCTGACAGCGTTGGTGTCATAAGCTCTGCGCAAGCGGGCTTCAGGAAAAACTACTCCACCATTGATAACATTTATATCTTAAAGGCATTGATTGATATATACCTTAATCAAAATAAGAAATTATACTGCGTATTTGTTGATTTTAGTAAAGCTTTTGATACTGTGTGTGGCGCTGTAATGCTTTGGCGGAAAATGGTTGATAATGGTATTACTGGAAAATGTTATAATGTTATAAAAATATGTATCAGCATATAAAATCATGTGTTTCTCATAATGGCAGTACAACCCAATTCTTTCCTTATGTAATAATACGGGTGTTCGACAAGGCGAAAATTTATCTCCATTTCTGTTTGCTCTTTATTTAAAATGATTTGGAGTATTTTCTATCAAAATAACGTAATTGGTTGGAATTTGTGAATGCTTATGCACTAAAAGAACTTGGTATATTCGTTAAGCTACTGGTAATTCTTTATGCTGATGATACAGTTCTTTTATCTGAATCTCCTTCTGATTTGAAACTTTGTTTTGGAAACTTTTGATGCTTACTGTACACGATGGAAACTAACAGTAAACATTTCTAAAACTAAAGTTTTGATTTTTTCAAAAGAAGCAGTAAACTTAGTACATTATTTTTCCTGCAGAATACTGTTTTAGAGGTGAAAAACATTATGTTTATCTTGGTGTACTATTCACAAACACTGGTCGCTTTTGTAAAGCCATTAAACGGCTCTCTGATCAATCTTCTCGTGCAATGTTTGCTATATTTAGAAAAATTCGCTTGTTAGATATACCGGTCGACTGCCAACTTAAACTTTTTGATCAACTTGTTAAGCCTATTTTATTGTACGGTGCTGAGGTGTGGGGCTACGAAAACACTATTCAATTAGAACGTATTCATTTGAAATTTTGTAAATACATATTGAAGGTAAAAACAACAACCCCAGACTTTATAGGGTGAACTTGGAAGATATCCACTTAGTATATCTATCAAATTGAGAATGTTATCATATTGGTGTAAATTATTATTATCTCATGGTAAACTATCAAAGTAATGTATAAATTAATGTTCAATTTGCACAATTCTCAGGCAAATGCTAAATATCCGCTAATGGCGGAAGTAAAATCTGTCTTAGAGATACAGGCTTTAGCTACATTTGGCAATTACAAGAATTTCAGAGCACCCATTGGCTGGTAAATAATGTTAAAACTGTACTCGTTGATCAGTTTCTACAAACTTGGAGAGAAAGTAAATCACAGTCATCGAAAGGCCAATATTACAATATGTTTAAGGATAATCTTTATATTGAAACTTATTTGTTGCAACTTCCTCTAGATTTACGTATTTATACTACAAAACTTCGAACTTGTAACCACAGACTCCCTATTGAAAACTGGTAGATGGCTTAAAATTGATAAAGAAAATAGACTGTGTACATCATGCAAGAGTAAAATTGGGGATGAATTTCACTTTTATATTAGAATGCAATGAGTTAAAAGAATTACGAAACAAATATCTCCCTCTATATTATTGTAAACATCCACTGTTGATAAATATATTTCACTTATGTCTATCACATACAAACCAATACTTGTTAAACTTGCTGCTCTTTTGTGAAATGGGGCTTGCGTACGCTCCGTTAATGTAATATGTGTTTGTTTCATTGCTTTGCACATGTATTTGTTTTACTCTATGTCATGTATATGACTCATGAGAATAAACTTTGAATTGAATTGAAAACTAACCACTACCACCATGGTTCTTCTCAATCACAGCTCATATCTGTGATTCTGTAGTATTTTACTGTCCATCGACAGGTTTTAATCTTCAAAATGTTTTCTCTTGATGTTGTGATAATTGCTCACGGACACAGGTGTTCGCTAAACCTGTCCGAAGGCGGAGGTTGGTTCAGCACGATATCGCACAATTTGGTACTAATATCCAAGGCAGAACAGCTGATGCCCAGATGGCCCCACACATACCATCCATTAAGCCCACTCATTAGGGCAGAATAATTAAACATACGCACTGGTCAGTGAGATACCGTTAACCTGAAACAACAGATAAAGGCAGGGGCCAGCCGGTCCCCACTGGGTGCACACGTGCTGGCCCCTAAATATGAGTACGGGTCAGGGAATCTAACAACAAACTCTGTCTGGCAGAACATTTGGCCAAGGGCTTTGAGACAAAAGCAATGGAGATTCATGTCCATCAGTGTCAGCGCCCGGCAGAGATAATTAAGTTAATTAGAGACCTGACCATTAACGGTATACCACCACTGACCAGTAGCGAAGAAGAACCAGAGAACAAAGGACCAAGACTGACCAACCCTGGGTATATATAACGGTACAGGCAATAGGCCAGGGAAGAGCCGAGCCGAATCTGCAGCCGAGTGTGCAGTACTGAATAAAGTTGTGGACCCACAGACAGACTTGTGTTGTTCATCACCCCTCTTGGAGACACAGCACTAAGGCAGATAGACATCGCAAAGAAAACCAGCATCTTCTAAGTGCGATACTGGTGGAGACAGATCTCTGGTGCCTCTTCAAGCCAAGCAGCCAAGTTCCATACAAAGGTTAATGCTGAACATTATACTTTGTCTGGGGTCCACAACTAACAGCCTTCACTCCGTAATTTGGAAGCGGACTAATTCCATGTGCCGCCTAACCAGAACGACAGTTTCATATAAGCCTACAAACACGTACTATAACACTTCTAGAAGCTGTCATAAACGGTGTGGCAATATACTCCCCATTTCTATGTGCCAGTGTGTTAATATCTCCACGGGACTGCATCGCGTTTTGATACGACCCATCAGAAGCTACCTTTCTACAGGACCAGATTCCGCGGAGCCAGTTCACCCTAAAGGACCAGGAGACAACCCATCAGTTCCAGACAGGACCAGGACCATGCACACCGGGACCAACTCGCCACCTCCCGACCAGACAGGACCCATCATCATTTCCGACGTCAACTCACTTCACAGCAGGACAAAACCGAAGTTTCGTGAGAGACACTGTGCAAGAACTGTGTGTAACGAACTGTTCTTCGTTTCCTAACATTGTGACACTCCTTTGGGTAAAGCACATTTTTATATTACCACTGCCTACCCTATTTGCATTTTTACTTGTTTAGCAGCACATTTGTACGTTGCATAACTATGTCGATATTCAAACTTAATCCACTAAACGCGGATGAAAGGCTTCCCCTCTTGACCCCAGAAAAGATTAACTCACCCCAACGTCTAAATCCACCCTAAACAAGTCGACCTCAGCTCTCTTGACCCTTATTCCTCCCAATGGGTGACCTTTGATGATACCACCTCTACCACGCGCCACAATAGTCACACCAACACTAAGGCTTCCATCCCGACCCCACCCACTCCCTCATCGTTTACCCCACGACACCCCCAGACATTCCCATTATTACCCCCACCTCGTAGCATCTCCCCTCCCCCCACCACCTCGCCGCCCTAACAGCCAGGAACCCTCAACTTCCCATACTTTATCAACTTTGTCCAGGGCTATTAATTGTTCACGCCTTCCACTTCCCATGTTTGATGGCAAAGATCCCATAGCGGCATCTGCTTGGCTGAAACGCTATGAGAAGTTCGCCTCTGCTCAACACTATACCGAAAGTGACCATATTGATATCTTCCCCTTTACCTGACCCACTTAGCGGCGGAATGGTACGAGGGTACGAAAATACCTCCTGTATGTCCTGGCCAGAGTTAAGAGCTGCATTTTTACGCCGATATTCCCCATCATCCATAAGTCTCTTAACTCGCCAGAATGCCTTACTGGACAGGAAACAAAGGTCTGGCAGAAACCTTCCCCGCCTTTCTTCAGTCCGTCAGGCATGAAGCTGAATTACTGCACAGAAATGATGATGGCTACATTAAAGACCTTATATTACGCAATACCCTGCCCCATATACGTCAGTTTATCCTGACCCACGCGCACGATACTCTAGAGCAAGTAATCGAGGCGCGGAAATTGCAGACGCCACGTCAGGGTTGACTGATCCCAAGTCAGATCAACTTATGGCGGCGATTAATGCCCTTTCATCCCAAGTCAGTGCGCTACACTGAACATGTTAATGCGATCAACTCTGGCTATCGCCCCCAATCAAAATTTTCCAAGAACCATGTCAGGCCCCACACCCAAAAATAGGTCAATGCAACGAAGATGGTATTCAACGGTCACTACAATATAGCTCTAATCCATCTCCAGTATTATCAACAGTCAGGCCCGCCCGAGAGCCACTCCCCAGAGGTGGAACACCCCACCAATCCCTCACAACAATTTCGTTGTAAAGGCTGCGGCTACTTCCACACCTCCCCACAAGAGTGTCGCACAAAGTACCTCAGATGTTATAACTGTAACCAGTTAGGACACCTGCTTAGAACATGCCCCCTCCCCCAACAGCGCAGAGCATGATATCAGGCGCCTCCCATAGCTGAGTCGAGCCCCAATCATCCGGCCCAGGGGAGGCATATTGATCGTTCAGTCAGCTAGGACTGCCAACCAATTACTCTTGTATATATGTATATATGCGACTGAAATATTACGGTACAACATAACAAAGCCAACAAATTCCTACGGTATATATGTATATGTCGGAAACTAAATATTAAGGTAACACATGAACATATCAAGAATCAGAGCAACTCACAACAACTTTAACATATTTTCAACACATCCACTTCATTAAGCCAATATGTGGAGAAAGCCGATTATAGCTTCTCCCACTGTACCAACACACATATACAACTGATATTGTGCCCTATACTTGTCAAATTGTCCAGGCAAGATATTTCTCAGTGGCCGGCACACTAACCATCCAATAACGCAGTAGCGGCCCTGAATGCATGAATGTTCGAAATTGAAAAAGTGCAAGGCAAAGGGAGGTATGCAGAGTTAAACTCACCACATACCACCTGAATGGATGACGAAGGATATGCGAGCGCGGTATAGGGGTTATGTTTGACGAGTTGAGGAAGAGGCGTCAGCTGTCGGAACCAGGTACAGGGCAACCACAGACAAAAGAGCCATCACGCCATTGTCTGGGGACCCTGGAGAGACGCCGGTAGTTGTAGTTGAAGGAAGGAAGTAGTAGAGTAGTAGAGAGAGGAAGAGGTGTCAGCTGTCGGAACCAGGTACAGGGCAACCACAGACAAAAGAGCCATCACGCCATTGTCTGAGGATCCTGGACAGACACCAGGTGTTTGTCGCTATGCGGCAGGGTTAGCTGATGGATTCCACCGTCTACCTGTCTCTTGATCACGGACGGGTCCACAGGCGTGCTCGATACCCATGGGAGAGTGTTTAGAGCGATCATTCACTCTTCCACAAGTCCCGGTAGTATAGGGCCAGCTAACCTGAGGAAAATTTGTGTAGTATAATGACGTCATTAGAGGATACGGTGGATACAGATATTGCGAGTAGACGTAGTAGTGAACTGAGGATGAATGAGTGTACAGAAGGCACTATAAAGAAGTACGAATGTGTAAAACCCCAATATATAACGGCCACTACTCCACTGAGAAATAATCCTGGTTAGTAAGTGTTTCCCAATTTAATTTTTGCATTTAGTCACGTAATTTTGAAAAGTATCTATAGAACTATCTACATTTTATGCAGGATGAGGTCTCTGCAAGCGTGGTCACTACTGCTGACCATACTGTATAGTACGATGGGTCAGGACCATGACCGCCTCCACTATGGGACCTTGTTTTCGGAAAGAGGGAAACTAACGGCTTTTGACGAATCTTGGACACACACATTCGCCCTAGAGTTACCAAAGCCATACCTTCCTAACAGATCGTATGAGATTCCATCTTGTCTTAAACAGGATGACACGGCATGTAAAAATACACACTTTCATGTTAGCTCCATCCTGACATTCGTACGTAATCTACACTCCCGCGCTAACTCAGACATGGCAACCACAATCAAATTAATTAAAACGCACATCCCAGACACGCCCGAACTTAAACCCAAAACTCGCCACACAAGAGTTTGCTTCCTTGGCTCGGTCAGTTGGCCAAGGGAGCATTCGGCCTCGCCACAGAACGTGACCTGAAAATAGTAACAGACCATATTCAACTCCTCGCATCCCAGGTACATCTCCGTGATGTCGGCTTCAACACATCACAACACCACATGGCATCCTACATGACACAGACAAATATTCGCTTCGACAACATAATCAAAGCTATTAAACAAAATCATAACCAAATCGTTCAGACAGGCGCATTCACACTTAAAGAGGTCAAATGGTACGAGAACTATTTCTCCACACTCCTCCTTATGGTAGGCAGAGAAAATCAATTGGCTACATTAGTACAGGGTCAGTCCCAGACACTATTATCAGGTATATTCCAGTTACTAAGGGGGCCGCCTGTCACCTAACATTGTTCCCTTACCAACACTACTGACAACAATTCACGCTATTGCCGACCGCTTACATTCCACATACCCAAAGTTTCAACTTCGATACACCGACGCCACGATGTACTATACCGATGTTGATGTACACCTAGCCCGCCACAACAATATGTTGTTTGTGACACTACTAATACCAGTAGTTTCAGACACTACTGTAATGAAAGTTTATAGGACGTCAACATTTTCCCTTCCAACCCACGTTAACTCCCCACATTACGACTATCGTCAGAAATCTGGCCCCATATCTTGCTGTTTCCATAGACAGTAAAAGTTTGTCGAGTTTGAGAGTCAACAGTTCGAGCGATGCAACGGTGAATCACACATACACTGCAACATACTGCCCCCCCAGTCCACGTTTTCAGCCCCTACGTGTACCTTGGCATTGTTCCTTAATGACATCGACCTTGTCCACGAATTATGCACTTTCCACTTTTTACCTAACGGTACTGTTACTGACATGTTCGAACTAAGATCGGGCATGGTTGTCCTCAAAATGTCCAAAATATCTCCTTTAAGTGCCCGACCGGCATTAAAACTCATAAAGGCTGCAGTTTGTGCACCTCACCGCTGTTTTGCTCTTGTTCAATCCAAGCAAACAATAAAACCATCCCTCCCCGGCTGAACCATTGTCAAATCCATGATAACACAACCCATCTCCGTTATCCTATTAACATTGGGTTCTTACGTCATTTTTTCAATTCCGACCAAATTCGAAATACCATTCCCGCCCTACTAGCGCAGGAGCCGGTTCAATATAGGACCGCCCCAATCCGTTTGGCGAACGCAACCTTCCAAAAGATAATTAAGACAGATAAACAACTCAGTGTTAACTTGAAACACGTGGTCGCTCAAGCAAAGGCCAACCAAATCATATATACCGACCCTTCAGACCCACTCTTTATAAAATCACTGGGCGACGACTCCGCCGTATTTGATTGGTCAGACCCCTTCGCGTATCTGAATGTTGCAGTATGGGGAATACTAATTGTAATTGGCTGCCTGCTTTTCTCAATGAATCGCAGAATCGGTATGCTACGAGTACAGCTACTGGCTCGGGGTATTACCGCTGTAGCAGTCACTACTACACCTAACATGTTAGTGTGGACACCCTCCACTCCAGCTCCCGTAGTGACATCAACGCCCTCGGTAACTGACCTTATTAAATCCTACTTTAAACTTGAAGTTGTTATCCTTGTTATCATGTTTATTGTGACTACTTCCTTAATACTATATGTGTACAAACTGAAGACAAAGAGTGACATCATCGGTCATATTATGCTTCTCTTCAGGGGAACGATTCAATTTGTTTGAATATAGCTGACATCAACGCCCCACCTCTAGTCCTGTCACTCTCTAATACCAACTACTCTCCTACGTCGGTAGCCATACACCGCACCCCTAAGTTGTTCTCCGATCAAGTCACTATCACCTGGCCAGACAACAACTTATCTGTAGTAAATATCACATCCACAACTCGCATCCCCTGCCCTCGGATGTAGCTATATTCAAGCTAAATGCAGAAACGACTAAGACGAATCATAAAAATCCGGTATATACTCAATTTGTATATACTCCACGCTAACGTCCATTACCCACTTAAAGCTGTCGGGGGGACCGATCAATCCATCAGCCATCATGATCCACCCCCACCCCACAGCCAACGGCTGTACCCGTCTCTGGGATCCCAAATCTAATGAAAATAGCCGTACTCTTACATACATCCTCTTCTCACCACCCCATCCCATCCCCCGATTACCTTTTTTTGTCGAACCATAGCTATGTATTAAAGTCAACTACTGACAACACAACCAACTCACCAATGATGGCCTGTCGCACACACATCGTTGGACACACAAACATTTTACATAACACCGTGCATATTTCTTAGTCGATAGTAATTGTAGATTTGTATATACGTTGTTTAGTTGTAACATGTTCAATAATGAGTCCACATTATAACTTATACATCATAGCACACTTATGTCAATTGTACCTTTTTGAACTATATATATATTCCACTGTACATCATTAAATTTTTTGATATTATAAACCGATTGTATGTCGATACTATGCACATATATTGTTACCTCCTGTATAATGATTGTATATCAGGGTTGGTCACAGTCATTTGGTCCTATGCTCTAATTAAGGACGTGAGGTCACGTCCTTACAATACGACAGGGAAGTATATCCAAGGCAAGAACAGCTGATGCCCAGATGGCCCCACACATACCATCCATTAAGCCCACTCATTAGGGCAGAATAATTAAACATACGCACTGGTCAGTGAGATACCGTTAACCTGAAACAACAGATAAAGGCAGGGCCAGCCGGTCCCCCACTGGGTGCACACGTGCTGGCCCCTAAATATAGTACGGGTCAGGGAATCTAACAACAAACTCTGTCTGGCAGAACATTTGGCCAAGGGCTTTGAGACAAAAGCAATGGAGATTCATGTCCATCAGTGTCAGCGCCCGGCAGAGATAATTAAGTTAATTAGAGACCTGACCATTAACGGTATACCACCACTGACCAGTAGCGAAGAGAGGGCAGAGAAACAAAGGACCAAGACTGACCAACCCTGGGTATATATAACGGTACAGGCAATAGGGCCAGGGAAGAGCCGAGCCGAATCTGCAGCCGAGTGTGCAGTACTGAATAAAGTTGTGGACCCACAGACAGACTTGTGTTGTTCATCACCCTCTTGGAGACACAGCACTAAGGCAGATAGACATCGCAAAGAAACCAACATCTTCTAAAGTGCGATACTAAGATTTTCGCGGTATCGGGTCTAAATCATTTGTCATATTAAATACATGACATCTCATAGAGAGGACAAGTTTTATTCCGACCAGTTGGTTGTACATGTGTACACAAAATAACCAATATCTTTGAAACAATGTAGATAACAAGAAACAATACTTGGCCGAAAAACAAGCTTCTAATATTTCCGATAATAAACTCTCCACCAATAAAGTCAACGTGACAAACGTTATGTGGGTAAAACTAGGGTCTGGTTGGACATACCAGCTCTGTTGTTTTCGTTTGCACTTCTGCTGATGAGAGCAATCTTAATGTATGTCCATATTCCATGCACTTCTGCTAATAGTTAAACTTGTCAATGCCCATATTCCTGCTCTTCTGCTTGGTGATGAAACTTGTCATGCCCATATTCACTGTACTTCTGCAGATGAGGAAACTTGTCATGACCATATTCCCCACTTCTGCTGATGAGGAATCTTGTCATGCCCATATTCCCCTGCACTTTTTTAAGCTGCTGAGGAATCTGGTCATGCCCATATTCCCCCACTTCTGCTGATGAGGGAATCTTGTCATGCCCATATTCCGAGCACTTCTGCTGATGAGGAATCTTGTCATGCCCATATTCCCTGGTCTTCTGCTGATGGGGAATCTTGTTATGCCCCATATTCCCTGGTCTTCTGCTGATGAGGGAATCTGGTCATGCCCATATTCCCTGCTCTTCTGCTGATGAAGAATCTTGTCATGCCAATATTCCTGGTCTTCTGCTGATGAGGAATCTTGTCATGCCCATATTCTCTGCTCTTCTGCTGACAAGGAATCTTGTCATGCCTATATTCCCTGGTCTTCTGCTGATGAGGGAATCTTGTCATGCCCATATTCCCTGCTCTTCTGCTGATGAGGAATCTTGTCATGCCCATATTCCCTGCACTTCTGCTGATGATAACACTCGTCATGCCAATATTCTCTGCTCTTCTGCTGATGAGGAATCTTGTCACGCCCATATTCCTGCACTTCTGCTGATGACGAAACTTGTCATGCCCATATTCCCAGCACTTCTGCTAATGAGGGAATCTTGTCATGCCCCTATTCCTTGCACTTCTGCTGACGATGCAACTTGTCACGCCCATATTCCCTGCACTTCTGCTGTTGATAACACTCGTCATGCCAATATTCTCTGCTCTTTCTGCTGATGAGGAATCTTGTCATGCCAATATTCTCAGCACTTCTGCTAATGCAGAAACTTGTCACGTCCATATTCCCAGCACTTTTTGCTGACGAGGAAACTTATCATGACCATATTCCCGTACTTTTGCTGTTAATGACACTCATCATGGTCATAATTTGAAGTATTATGTATGCCAGAGTTTTAAAACGCAGTATGTAAGAAATGTTATTTTGGGCTAAACGTACGAATTATCGCCAGTGACTGGGGGTTATAGAAATCCAACTAGGGTCCATGCAGGTACTGTAATGTAAGTTCCCATGGAACCCAGTATGTATGGTGATCTACTGTCGTAGGTACTTTGATGGGTTATGGGTTTTATCTGGAAATATAGACATGTTTGTATATTCTCTGAGTTAAGTTAAAGTTGTGTTTTCTAAATCTAAATCACAGTGCTGACAATATACATGAAATATCAGCAGCTTATTATCACGACCACCAGCACAGCCATGTACAGGTCAGCTGCCTGCGTGTAATTAACCCTAATTAACTTTCGAGTATGGCCGGCTGGCCACGTAGGCGCTAACACT